TAGCTCACAGTTTGCTAGCCTCCAGCTCCTACATTTTTGTCTCCGCTCAGGAAGGAGGGCCCCAGAGCAGACGAATTGATGCGGCAGCCAAATGGGCTCGCTCACAGCTTTAATGCCAGTAGCTCACCAAGTAGGATTTTTGCTCACAAGACTCCACAACTTAGAGGGAACATTGGACGGGACTCGCAAGAATGGGTTTAAGTTAAGGTTGGGAAGGCACCGGCTGGATATCAAGGAAAGACTTTTTTACAGTCAGAGTCGTGCAGCAGTGGAATCAGCTGCCTAGGGAGGTGGTGAGCTCCCCCTCGCTGGCTGTCTAAGCAGCAGCTGGACAAACCCTTTTCAGGGATGCTCTAGGCCACTGGTTCCCAGAGTGGGCAATGCTGCCCCCTGGGGGGCGCTGGAATGATCCAGGTGGGCGGTAGGAGCCTTGGGTGCAATTGAGGGGCGTTGAATAAAAATAAGGGGGTGCGGTGGAAGCATAAAGGAAGACAAGTCCAGGACCTATCTAAAGCAGCCTTTCCCTGCCTTCTCCCGGTCTTCCCTGGGATCAGGGAGGGAGGTGGAGAGGGGTCCCCACAGCCAATCATAGCCATGCATTTGCAAATTGGAAACCGACGTGCGCCCTTGTACGACTGCTGTTGCTGCTGAGCTGTTGTGTGGTGGTTGCCGCTGGCCTTCGGCTTCAGGCCAACAACATCTTTCTTTACTGACGAAAACATCTTTCTTTACTGTGCAAATTTGTCGCTGCATCTTTCTGACCACTACTTGAAGGTAGATTTCCAGTGGGGCGCTGAGTTAATTGTTTTTCCTGAAAAGGGGGCGGTAGGCCAAATAAGTTTGGGAACCTCTGCTCTAGGCTGATCGTACATTGGGGGGGTGGGGTGTCGGACTAGATGGCCTGTGTGGCCCCTTCCAACTCTGTGCGATTCTGTGATTCTATAACCTCCTAGTCCCACAGGCTAGGCTGTGCAGTGGCTGGCTGTGATGCTGCCCCTGCTGTCGGGAGTGGGGCCGGATGGCAGTGCTGGCCTTTGAATGCGTGGTATGAGAGCCAAGCTAGGGATTCCCAGTTGAAAACAGAGACCGCCCTGTTTACTTGCGGCAGGTCTAGACTCACACCAACGATAACCCTCAAGGACGTTGCTGAAGGTTGTCTTTCGCATGCTGCTGGGGGGGGTGTCTGCAAATGGGGCTTTACTGTATCGTGTGCGGTTTTAACTTGGCGTTGTGAAGCCACCTTGAGTCCCAGGGAATGCGGGGTGTGAAATGTTTTCATAACTTGATAAATATTGACTCTGCAGTAGCTTGTCCTTGTACTAACTTCGAAACAAGAGAAGGTTTGTTCTGTTGGCAAAGCGTACTTAGGAAAACGTAATTGTTCTCTAATGGATTCTTAGCGTTTCGAAGTGAACCGTACCCGTTGAAACCACTATCTGCGAAGAGAAATTCATAATCAGTGTTAATGGAAATGGAAAAAACAAGAGAAGGTTTGTTCTATTGGTAAAGCGTACTTAGGAAAACATAATTGTTCTCTAATGGATTCTTAGAGTTTCGAAGTGAATCTTACCCGTTGAAACCACTGTCTGCAAAGAGAATTCATAATCAGTGTTAATGGAAATGGAAACAGTTCTGTCTGTTTTTAAAATTCCCTCTTACGGCCTTAATGCTCATTAACACATTTGTTTATGCTGAAGGAACAGTGCAGAGAGAACTGAAATTGGGATGCCTCCTTGCAGTTCTACTCCCGAATTTGTGCACAGATGCAAGTTTACAAGCCTCTTTTCTCTTTCTCCAAACGTCTTGGTCTAAGGAAACAGGTGCTTGAACTGTGACAAGTAGTGAGAACATCTACTTCGACATATTGCCAGAGTTTTGTTCGTAGAGTTCTTCTTGGAGGAGGATGGAGGTGGTAGGAAAGGGCGGCATTGTGTGTTCCCCTTCTTAAAATCTGCAAACAGAAACCATCAGTGTCCCAAGTAACTTCAGCGTTCGTTGCTGTTTCTTGTGTGAATGCAATCAGCGTAGTAAGGCCCTTTAATAAGCGTATGAACATGTAGCTGTGGTTTCGTTTTTCTCCGTTTCAGCGGAAAAGGGAGGCATAAGCTTCTGATCCTTGGGGCTGGTGGAATAGTTTGTATTCCCGTGATCCAACGTCTCAGTTTAAGTGCCTGCTCTGAAGAAGAGAGAGAAATTGATGCCTCGAAGCGCCAGCATCAAGTTCTTACCAGCCCTGGCTTTTGGCACAATGATGGTGTTTCCCCCCCCCCCCTTAAATCTTTTAGTAAAAATTTCACACTCGATGTTTGTCACCTTTCTGTCAGATGCTTTGCTTTGTGAAGCTTAATTAATCCTTGTGCCGCATTTGCTGACGATGCATCAGAGGTGAGTAACGTGACCAAAGCGGCCCACTGTGCCACTGCGGCACTGCCCACAAGTCAGTGAGTCATCTTCGTGGTCGGAGAGTTGGCAGTCTTATCTGTCACCCTTTTATCCCACTCTTCCTCCAAGGACCTGAAGGCAGCGTACCTAGATCTCCTGTCTTCTACTTTATCTTCACAGCAACCTTGCGGAGTAGGATAGACTGAGAGCAACCCACTCAAGGCCACCCAGTGCACTTGCCGGTTGAATAGGGACATGAACCCAGGCTGCCCTAGCCTAGCGCACTAGCCACTAACACCGCAGTGGTATGTTACAGGGAGAGGGCCTGGTCCGTGGGCTGCCACTGCGTACCTCAGTGCAAGGTATGATGTGTGTACAGCATGGGAGCCAGTGATGGGGGCAATTAGGGTCAAAAGAAGTCCCCTCCCCCA